ATGATATCAATTCCATAGTGGATGTAATTGACAAAGAATTATATCTTCATAATAATATAAAAGATGCATTAAATAAAAAATGAAGATTTTGGACATAATACCAGAATCTCATTTTGAAGAGGTTATATATATTTTTTTTACAATCAAAGATAAGATGAGTGATTTGAAGCATCATTCAAATGATCTTTAAAAGATGGAGCTTAAATATATTGAGTAATGTGTGAAAATAATCTCCGACTATTTGCATGACGATGTTTTAGTCCTATGGTTTATAGAAGTGCCCAAATAGTCCCCGACTATTTTAAAATTGAGCTCAAATAGTCCTTCATGGGAATTATTCCAACCCCAAATTAAAGATTTGGGAACTATTTTGACACTTTTAAAAGCTCGAGACTAAAACGGCCCCATGTAAATTGTTATGGACTATTTGACACATTACACAAAATGTATTAAAACAAAGCCTTAGCCAAAGGATAAAAAATAATCTACCTTCTGTGTGTGGAGAGAGAGGGAGAGAGAGGGAGAGAGAGACTTCCTATAAGTATGAGTAAGATTATCATAGAGTTCATACAAATGAATCATTTTAATCATTTTTGTTTGCTAGTGATAATATTTAAATATGACTAATTTGATAATACTAAAAAGGTCATGTTGACAATTATCGCAAGATTATTGAGTGAAATACAAGTCATTTTTTTTTTTCAAAGTACAAGTCATAATTGAATTGCAACAAATGAACTTATAATATTAGGTAAATAAGTTCAATACATTTACTATGCAACTTATATTATTAGATAAAGAATACATTAGTGAACTTCATCTATGATACTTGTTAGAAAATGCTTTTAAAAATATCTCAAATAGATGATAAGTAAGTTAAAGATGATTTAGGAGTTTTTAATGAACTAGATAAATACTAACACACTCATGTTTGAATTCCAATTTGGTTTGATGATGAAAGAATATTAGCAAGCAATTTATGTAACACCACTATATGTTCACATGCCAATGACCAAATCCTAAATTAATTTATTGCATTAAGAAAGGGGATCATTATTATACCCAACAATCAACATACTCAAAAAAAGAGCTTGATAAATACTTGGCCAACCTTTCATAATGAAATTGTTAAGACATAAGGTCACTTTGTGATGTTCCAACCCGATATAATCCCTATACTATAATATGCTACATCAAGTTGAGTGTGTGATTATGATTGCCTAAATATATTAGAAAGAAATTTTTGTATATTATCCAAATTTAACAGCACATAATTTCTAAATTATAAAAATATAATAAAAAAGTGAAATTCAATATGCTTCATTTATATATATGACATAATTTTTTGGATCAAAAGTACTAACATATAATAATCATGGTGTTACAATATGTCTAACAAAATTGCTTATGCTAAGATATGTTAATTTTTTAAGGAGTTCCAATTGGATAAGAAACTCTCTAAATGTAGACCTATAATTCTCATAAGAATAGAATATATATATATAT